GAGGCAAAAATTCTCAGTTAATGATAGGAAATCCTATTCTATCCATATTTTTTTTTAATTATCACCAAAACCTACGATAAAGGAAAGTTTATGTGCCCTATCTAAACGTCAAGGCGTTTCATTAACCATGAAGATATAAAAATATATGGCTTCGTGTGACCTAAAATGCAGTTAAATTCCTACATATTGCTCTAGCATATACATGGTTACATGAAGTTCTAGTGGTGATCAGTCGTCCTCAAATTCCGATGATCACGTTTAACGATTTTTCAGTTAGATCTAGTCCAATGATCCTTAATTCAATTTAAGTAAGCCTCGAGCCAAATTTAAACTATAATCCATTGGAATAATTCCATCTCCAGACTATGATGATTTGCAAACTGGTAAGCTAAAATAAAAATTTTTAAGTCCCTGAGTATCTAGTTGTCTTTATTTGTTAATTGCCTTACACTAGAATCTCAGCAACGGTTGCTGAAGCGAATAAGCCACATTAAAAATCTACAAAAAACTGTCGATGAATGCTTCCAACAGAGATAAGAAGCTTTGATCTAGTATTTTATAAATCTAAATGACGCATATATTTGTTCACAACGAAATAAGTAGTGTATCCAAAAGGAATTAATAGCCATAATTTAGAATGTTTAAAATAATTTTTTTGATTTGTGGAGATCGAAACGATTTTTGTGTGAGAGCAAGTGTCTAGCTGCTCAGTTCGAGATTCCGGATTTAAGATACTACGATAATTACGAACACCCGGCTTCTAAACAAAAAAGCTGAAGTGACCATTTTAGAAATTGTACAGAGTATAGAAACTGGGCAAAAGAGGATTTAATGAATTTATTTAAACAAAGAATGCGGTTAAATTGGCACATAACTCGATGAGTTAGACCAAGAATCTGGCTTCTTTATTCTCTGTCTTCTAACTGCCCAACACTGCAAGTGAGATATAATTGACGGAGTCTTCTTGGTCATTAAAAGTTTTGCCTAAAGCAAACTAAAAAGGACATATCTGATATTTATTTTCTTTTAGTGAAAAATTATCAACTAATTTTCTAGCATTGTATTGATAATATAACTAGCAGAATGAATTTTGATCTGCAATTTTATATTTTCGCGAGATTACTATGATTACTAATATTTGGTATATATATTGTTTTTCAGCCATACGTGATGAATCCAGGGCCCATGTGTTGAAGAGAGCCAAGAATAAACACATTAAAGCAAATTGGCTACTTGTATGAATTACAAAATACAAAGAAAAACGAGGTATCTCGATTTTTTTATCCTTATTCGCCCCTTCACAACTTCAATCTCAATAAAATCGACTTGAGCATAATGTATTGCGCTATTAGCAATTCGAATAGCTCATATCTCTTAGATTATAAAATACGAAAAGAACATACTTTGAGAATATCACTATATCGTGAATATGGTGTCCTGTCAGCCTATCTCCTATATTCTGATGTAAAACAAATAGTTAAATATTTTTCACAATAAACTAATGAAACCTCACTACACTATAAAATGTTATATTGCCTTGCCCCCAAAAAGATTCTCACTTAAGGTTGGCCACAGTTCTTGAATTCTCCATGAATAAGCCTATATGAAGGTTCATTTTCTTTATAAGTTCGTCTCTCAAATACCCTCTCATAATTTCTTAACATCTACTAGCTTCATAATAAATCAGACAATATATAAAGGCATGATAGCTTTTTACTTAGTAAAGCTGGAATGTGAGTTGAGAAGAGTCTACCCTTTCATAAATTACCTGCTTTCACACAAAAATATGTTTTTTCAATTCAATGCCAGCGTGATTATCTCTAGACTAAAACCTCATTAAATTCAAAGTAACCAATGGTTCGGCCATACTGACATTTTGGTTACTGTTGGAGGAAACCTTTTTGCCGGTAGCCACTATTTGAATGCATGTGTTTTAAGCTTTAAAAGTGAATTTGTGGCAAGAAATACTTTTATAATAAAAAAGTATATTGAGTGAAATTATGAAGAATGTACATGCTCACTCATTGTTGAGTAGATAAAGTAAACCTATGCCATTAGAGAAAGAAAGGATAGACACACCTCAAGGTCAGCGATTTCCTCATAAAGCAGATTTAGTGCCAATATCTCTTCCAGCCGATGACGCTTTTCTGCGGCCAAATCACGCAAGCTGGCATAAGTTCGATCAGCCAAAATTTGTAAACGGGCAAGATTGGCTGATGCGGCTTTTTGTGAAGCAATTCTGCATTGCAGGATGCGTCTTTCATGATTTATGAGGCGAATCGCCTTCTGCGGCGAGACTTGATCTGGTTCGGCGTCCAGGTTGAAGTCATCAGCAGAAGTGATGGGAGAAGGGAAGAGAGTAAGCAGTTTACCTCTTTCGTCGGGGTTTGAAGATAGCAATAAGCCCTCTACATGATACCAAGGCAGTAGAGAAGGAGGGGCCGCAAGATGTGGTGATTGGCAAGGCCTTGTTACACTCACTACCCCTTCTCGTGCCAGCTGCCGACAGACTTTCAGTTGGTCCTTCAGCTGATACAAACGAGATGTCATTTGCTCAACTTCTTGAACGACACTGGCTCGCAGTTCAGCTGTTCGCTGGCCTATGGATGGTTTACGATGAAGGAGAAGAAGATAAGACAGAGCGGAATGAAGGCAGTTATTCTATAATGTTTAAATCTACTTCTTGAATGAATTTTATCAAAAGTAAGTAGGTGATCTCATCTAGGTCTGTGCAACTTAAGGGAACTGCGATTAAGCAATGGCAACAAATGTTGGGATTAAGGATAGAGTCAAGTAGCATGCACGAGCTTGCGAAATTTAAAAGTGAATTTATGGCAAAATACTACAAGTGAGGTAAGAAGGCCGCTGGCTGGAGTCATTTGGAGGTTCATGATATGTTCAAATCGCGAAGCTGTTTGGCCTACTTTGATGGTCAAGAGGTAACGGTTTAACAACGAGATATTTAGGCTGAATTTAATTATAGAATTTGTGTGATCCTCGTTTTGCAACTTGGTCATATTGCTAGGAAGACTTAGAGGAACGAAAGTAGTTTGAAGTCCATTGTATGAATCATCATTTCCAGAGTATGACCGTGGACGTGGTACATTCCCAGACGTTTCGCCGGTATCGTAGTCAGCATCGTCAGTGAGTCTTGCCAATCTTATCAGCACACAACATCTCGTCAAAGAGACAAG